AATTAAGATTGGCCTTTATCACAAATTAAATACACACACATGCACATACACATATTTACATATACATACATATATATAGGATCTGTCACCACATTCTTTATTCTGTTTCATTAAACATTTTGTTCTTTTATAGAACAAATATATAAGAACAGATAGTGGATTCTCATTATTTGCTATAGTTCTGTAAAGGCCCCATGAACAGTGAATTAGTGAATACTGAGCCACTTCTTGGGGGGAAATACAGAGTTAGGTTCCTGAGAGCCTCTGGCCATTTTCATCAACTGATCAGTACATAACCTTCTCTTATGTATGTTGCTGTTTAAAGATACCTTATTTAATATATATTGTTATTCATTAACATTGAATTTACAGTCAACAACACTTTAACTCATACCTTGAACAAAGCCTATCTGATACCTGTATTTTCTTGGTAAGGCACATCACAGCCTTCTTGCACTTAAGAACACTAGATAGCACTTGAGCACTATGCTCAGAAAACAATTTTTTTAATTAAATAATTTTTAGAGCAGGTTTAGGTTCATAACAACGTTGAGCAGAAAGTACAGAGAGTTCTCATGTACCCCCTCTTGTCCCCACAAACACAAAGCCTCCCTTAGAAGTCACTTTAAATGGCAAAATCACCAACTAAAATGCAAAAGATGTGACACTAAATAAATGGTGAACAGGACGTTCATTTACAGTGAAGAGAGCTGAAACAGAAAGGCAGGTGTCACCTTGTTTCACCTCAGCTGGGCTTTGCCACTGCATGTCTGTGGGAGACTGTGACAGCACAGCCATATTCATTTGGGGTTACAAGTAAATTTTAAGGAGTAGGCAAGTTCATAGATAACATTCTGTGAATAATGAGAATTGATTGTGTTATTTTAATTATAGTAGCTTCATAGAATCTACTGTATTTTTATATCTTATTAAGCAAGACTCTCATTTTTTCTTCTTCAAGAATTTATTATCTGCAACTCCTGATTCAATAATAGAAATAACCCCATTAAAAATGGGCACGAGATTTAAATAGACATCTCTCCAAAAAAAACATAACTATACGTACATGAAAAAATGCTCAACATCATTAGCCATCAAGGAAATACAATCAAAACCACAATGAAAAGGCACTTCATATCCAAAAAGATAGCTGTACTAAAAAATGACAGTAAGAAGTGTTACCAAGAATGTGGAGAAATTAGAACTCTCATCCATTGCTGAGGGGAATGTAAAGGAGTGCAGGGGCTTTGGGAAAGTTAAACTCTACCACATGATTTAGTAATTCCATTCCTAGGCATGTACAAAGAGAACCGGAAACATAATGCCCACACAAAAACTCGTGTGCAAATATTCATAGAAGCATTATTTGTAATATCCCAAAGTAGAAACAACCCAAATATCCAGCAACTTATGAATGAATAAACAAAATATAGTATAGCCATATGATGGAATACTACTCCGCAATAGAAAGGCATGAAGAACTGATACATCCTATAATATGGATGAACCTTGAAAACATGCGAAATTAAAGAAGCCAGACCCAAAAGACCATATATCATATGAATCCATTTGTATGAGATATTAGAATAGCAAATCCATAGAGACTAAAAGATTAGTAGTTGCTTAGGGCTGGCCAGAGAGGTGTTGGAATGAAAATGACTGCTAATAGGTACAGGGTTTCTTTTTAGAGTGATGAAATGTTTTAAAATTAAATAGTGATGATGGTTACACAACTCTCTGAATATACTAAAAACCACTGTATTGTACACTTTAAATGAATGAATTTTATGGTCATGAATTAAATGTCAAGGAAGGTTTTTTTCAAAAATGTGTTTTCTCTGTACAGAGAAAGCAAAATACTTTCCTTCCTCTCTGGTCCTGCCCTCCTCATGCCCAGCATGGAGAGAGGCTCAAGCCCTTCTGAGACCCATGAGCAGTCTGGTGAGGTTTCGTAGGTCCACCATCTTCCGAGTGTCTGTCACATGAAGTTCTTAGTATGTTCTCTAACTATATTTGTGCCTGAAGGGAGTGTTTTCCATAGATTTTAAGCAGTGCCCATACTTCATGATTGATTTGTATTACCCAGGATGCCTTCTGGTCCTTGGTCCTTAAATATCTCCACAGTTAATTTGGGCAGGGGCTAGATTATTGCCTGTTGCTATTCTCACACACTTACTCTTTTAAATGAACTTTAGAACCCAATTGTGACAGCCCCATCCCACCCCCACCTTCACCAATAGGAAATGCTGATGGGATTCTATCCAAGTTGTATTACATTTACATGTGTGTTTTGGGTAGACTTGACATCTTTATGATACTTAGTTTTCCCATCCAGGATCATGGTATGATGTTTTTATTTATTCAGGTCTTTTTTTTTTTTAAGTCCTTCATTAAAATTTTATAGGTTTACTTTTCTTGTTAGACTTGTTGCTAGTTATTAGGTCATTTTCCATTTCAGTTTTTAAATGACTGTGGCTAGTAGAGTAAGAACACTGTTGTTGTCTGCATGTCTAGATATCTGTATCTGTATTCTGCCACCTTATTAAATTGTGTTTTTAGTACTTTCTTCTTGCTTGCTTTTTTTTTCTTGATTTCCCTAAACTGCTTTTCTTCCTCCACCTTTTTAAGGCATCTTTACCTGGAAATCCCAAGGATATATAAAGCTCAGAATAAAACTAAAATAAGTTATAGTTAAAATAATTTCTCCATACTCTTAGGCTCAGAACTGATTGCTTCTAACCTGTGAAGCACCTTTGTATAAATTAGAAGAAGGCACCTCTTTTTCCTGACATTATTATTCTTATCTCCTGGGAAGATTGTGATAATTAATTGATTCAGTTGGAAAATGACCTATTACTGCAGAAAAATGTCATAATCTGCCAATCTCCGACATCTGTGTCGTGCTTTCTTAGATGAGGACTCTTGGGCAGTCTCAGCCCACGCAGATATTTATAGTAGTACTGCTTAGATCTGTAGACCATGCATCACTGCTTCTGGAAGCACTCCTTTCTTCCCAACCCACTGTCTCAGTGTAGACTCATTATATTTCACCTTTCATCACAGTACAACCCCCTCCCCTCCAAAAGAGGATAAAAACAAAGTACCACTAGGTCTTCCTCTTCCCAGCCTCTTTTCTAGGGCACCCTAGATACAACCCAGAATAACCTTCCTGAAGCACCAGGAAACCTGTTCTCCAAGGCCTTTGGTGCTTCCTTGTTTTGCTCCCAGTAGAGTCAGAAGTGCTTCAACCCCTGGAAGCCCTCATCTTCCTTGGCATTCCCTGTTGCCACCTCCACCACATCCCCTGCTCTTCCCACCACTCTCAGACACTTTGGTAATTCCTGCTGTCTCTCACTCTCAGTTGGCTCATCTCAGTAGTGATCATCAGTAAGTATTTGGTAAAAAGAGCATGGGGAAATGACTAGAATAGGGCCTGGCACTTAGTGCGTGTGTTTCCTTCCCCCTCGGTCACAAGTATTTTGGAAACTGAAATGCTATATAATTGTAACATGTTGTTATGATTATGCTTAATTGTATGCCCATTGCCCAGAGTTATTGCATTTTGACAAGAACTCATCATATTTGACCTCTAATAAGGAATATTTGATAATTGTCTGCAAGAAAAAAAACATAACTTTGCAGTTTCCATGTGCCACTAAAAGAGGTGCCACTAAAGGGTTTTGGCTATCTCCGGAGGCTCATGGTGAGCACTGTAGGGGAGAGTCCCCTCTCAGGGCAAGGGTGCAGCAATGGTCTTGCTCACACATGGGCTGAGACAGGTGAGAAGGGCAGGTGGCAGCTGCCTCAAGCAAACACGGCAAAAGATGGAAGATGCTCAGATGTGCTGAAAACACACGCAGTCCTTCCCTGGTGAGGATTTTCTGGGTACCACTGCTGCTGCCTTAAGAAATCAAGGAAAAAATACTTGCTGCTGATTACAGAAAATGTTTTGTGGTTAAAAGTCTGCTTCTGAATGTGTTTATTGGTTTAAAGAATTGACTTCATTTCAGCCACATTTGCTTGTCTGTTGTCTTTTGTTCTACGCCCTCTCCTGATTTGGTTTTCAGTGAAACCATCAGAAACCATCTGGTGAAACATTTTGGATTCAAATTAGTTTATCACAAATGAGAACACAGATGAAAAAGATATAGTACAATAATGTTACAAACAGAATAACATCAGAGGGAAGGAACAGAGAGAAACTGAGAAGGGCTGTGTAGGAACAGAGCCAACCCCTAGGAGAAAGACCAGCCAAGGAAAGGTGTCAGAGCTGGCTAGCACTCGCCTCAGGGTCTGGCTGGGCATTCTTCCATTTCTGATCAACCTACAGTCCGTGGGGGGAAGAAACCACCACTGGTAGTTACTCCCTTGTGAGCTGGGATAGAGTGCTGCCTAATAGACTGATGAATTCACTTTACTCCAAAAATGGGCCCCAAAAAGTCCTGTCTCTCTTCTCCATCCCTTCCCTCTGCACCCTTTTCTTACTCTTTCTTCCCAGACTCATCCTGGCTTCTATTTGCCCTTGTGAACCACGGGTCCAGCACACACCCAGAATGTTGAAGAATATATGCAGTGGGGCTCATCAGTGATGGTGGGGCCACCTTTTCTGCCTGACTCTCTCCCATGGGCTGTAACCTGTTCAGACATGTGGGAAAACAGTGGAAGAAATACATCTCCAGCCCCACATTGCTGAATATCTTCAACTGTTTGACTTTATTTGTTGATTTGACTTGTAGATACATGTGCATGTAAAAAAAACTATTTTCCATAAAAAATGCATGAGTATACAGAGTAAAGTACCTCTTCCCCAACCCTATCTGCTAGGCCCTCTGCTCCCATTTCAGAGGCTACTTATGTGTACCTTTTTAGAGGTCGATAGCTTATCATTGTTAGCCTTTAAAAGTCATTCTCTCTTCTTTCTAATTCCATTGCTGGGGCTACTGGATTTACCAGCTGTGTTCTTCCTGTACCTACTTTCTCCATATCACCTCCTCCCTCAGACTATGACCCCTGGCGGACAAACAGTTGTGAACAGAATGAGTCAGACCCCATCCCTGCCAACTGCACTGGCTGTGCCCAGAAATTACCCCTCAAGGTAATGCTTCTGGAAGACACCCCGAGGAAATTTGAGAGACTCCATCCTCTGGTGATCAAGGTGAGCAAGAAGCCTGACTCTCCCGCTGATCAATCACCTGTTCGATGGCTAGAAAAAACCAAGCTTTGTGACATTCCTGATTAGAAATTCTGTGTTGTTCTGTTTTGCTTTTGTTTGCTGCCTTGCCCAGACAGGACAGCCCCTGATGTCTGAGGAACTTCAGCAGTTCTTGTGCCGGTACCCTGAGGCAACAGAAGGCTTCACTGAAGGGGTTTTCACCAAGTGGTGGCGCTGCTTTCCTGAACGGTGGTTCCCGTTTCCTTATCCGTGGTGAGTGTGGGTTCTGCGTGAGTGGAGAAAGGGCGAAGGCCAGGTGTCAAAACAGTAATAACTACCACTGAGACCCTAATGTACCTGCACCATGTAAGCACTTCACAGTACACCCTTCAAGTCAAACCATATCCAGGAGTTCCCTGTTGAAAAACCAATAATGAGAGGTAAAGGTGATGAATCAAAGAAAGGTATCACCATGGGTGGACACCAAGATTGCTTAATAGAATCATAATTTATTTCTAAGTTTGTGTTTAGCATTTGTGTTGATACAGAATGAGTCCTGAGCTTTGAGGGCTGAAGAGAGAGCCCAAAGAACAGAAGGGAAGCATCACTTCCTAACACTTGGTTGTGCTGACAGCATGCCTTGGTATCTAGTGCCTGTTGCTTATCTTGGTCTTTTTTTCACATCAGAAAAGTGGGAATCAGAGAGGTTAAGTACCTTGCTTAAGGGCATCCAGCCAGGATTGAAACCCATGTCTTTCTCCCTTTTCCTTCCTGTGTCCTATGAAAGACAGGGTCCACTTCTTGGGGTAAAGGTAGCTCTCTAGAAAGAAAAGGAAAGCCAGTTTCTGTCTAGAACCATTCCAAAAGAGAATTAAAATTGCTTTTTTTGAGCTTTTTATTAGATAACTTCTCAATGTTTCTGCCTTTCTTTAAATTTTCTGTTTATTTGATAATGGGATATTCAATTTAACAAGCTCATCAGGCTTCCCACTGCATGCCAATCCACTGCATAAGAAGGTTCTCGATTTTTGCCCCCTCATCCTCCCTTCTTCTCTTTCCTGCCTGGCCTGCTGTTACTTCAATGTCTTTTCCAAAACAGAATGAATGGATCATTTCTTTCCTTCCTCTATATGTTGTTTTAGCTGGATTTTATAAACACCCCACCCACATGAACAAATCTTGGCTGTAGAGTTTATGCCTGTGCGTGTACATATTACAATTAATTGATTTGGCATGGCTATTCTACATGGACCTAATACTTAAGATATTGTCCTGATATTTTTCCCCCTTTACCCACCGCCCACAGTTTTCCCACCCTTGCTTAACTAACTCTCGATCATAAAGACAGGCTGGCTTGCCAGTTTAATTGCTTTTTTTCTCTCTCAACTTTTACAGGAGAAGACCTTTGAATAGGTCACACATTTTACGTGAGCTTTTTCCTGTTTTCACCTACCTGCCATTTCCAAAAGATTCCTCCTTGAAAAAGTGCTTCCTTTTTCAACCGGAACCTATTGTGGGGAGTAAGGTAGGAAATTGTGAGAGGGACCCATTTCTTGGGACACAGGCTGATGTCATCAAAGTCCTTCCTGCATGTCAGTTTAGGGGGTACAGTAGAGGGAAACCCACATAATCTACTGTTCTCTCCTGCAGGGGCCCACCCTTTTACAAAGGCATGCTTAGAGAAAGTGTAGTTACCTTATAAATCTCTTTTCTGCCCTTAACACTTTCTGACTTTAAAGGAACTAGAATAAGGAATCCCAGATGTGAAGGAACCTGAGCGTGTGGTTATTCTGACTTAGTGCCTCGGCCTAGAAAGCAGGCAAACTATAAATGAATAGGCCAGCTTACTCTATAGATAAGGGGTCTGAGCTCCAGAGATTGAATGATTCACCCAAGGACACAGCAAGTTAAGAGGAGGGCCCTCGCTCCCAAGTGGGCTTCCAGAGAAGTAAACACATGAGAAGCCTCAGGTAAAGAACTGGAAAAGCAAACAGCTTAGGAGCCTGGAGAGGTTTGGGGACAGAAGAGTTGACAGGCACATGACTGAGGCAGGCAGCCCAGTTTGGGAAGCAGTGCCTCTCACCTCAGAGCCCATGCTTACCTCTCTGAAGCCAGCAGGCTCAGCAGAACTATTCTCTGTGTGCGTCTGTTTAGTTTTCTCTGAATTGCTCTTTTGTTGAGTCTCATTCCTAAGGAAGGTTTTTCAGCCAGGATTGGTTTTGAAGAATTAAAAGGATGAATTTTCCTTTGTAAAAAAAATTAAATTTCCCAAACTATGACCCCTACCAACTCTTAGCTGTGTCTTCAACCTCCTGATACTATTGTTTGGCTCCAGATTTGCTGAATCGTGTTAGAGGAATTTCAAAGCCTATAAAAACAATCATTTTGTCTAGAAGCAAGAACTGTCTGCCAGCAGTAGGGTGGAGATACTGGGCTCTTGCCTCAGATTTTAAAGATGTTCATCCTGCTGACCAAAGCTAGAACTCAGGGTCCTACTGTGATTTTGTCTTCATAGTTATGATACAATTCTGGGTGAGGGCCTTTATCTTGGTTTTCCCACTTGAATCTGAAGTTAATTTCACCAGCCTGCTTACCAGGGACACCAAGGAGCCCAGCCAAAGGGGTAAATACAGAGTCGCTCAGACACCTCTCAGAGTCATCTTGTTGTGGTTCCCAGGATGTTTTGGCAAGGGGAGTATCCCAGATAGGCAAGAATCCTGAGAGTCTGGTTTCATAGAGCATCTGTTCCCCACCCTGGCCCAAGCTCTCCTTTCTCCACAGCCTTGTTACTCCACCCTGCTGTCCACATCCCTGGGCCCTGGGCCCTTGTGTAGTCACATGTCTGTGGGCCCAGGAACTAAGAGGCAGCCTTGGGATAGAAGATGGGAAGTGAGGAGCTGATCATTAAGAGGCACTGGGGGGGTCAGTGGAGGGGCTCTGAGGCCTGCCTCACACCCATGCCACCATGTTGCCTGGGGCTGCCTGCTTCATCCTCTTGTCTGTTGCTTCCCATTCTGAGTGTGGAGGAACATGGCCCTGCCTCTCTCAGGCCTGTGAAAAAAGAGATACATCCACCTAGTTTTAGTTGTTTGGGATTTTCTTCAAGACTGCGGATGTCAGGGCTTTCACTGGTGTTAGTACCAGTCAGTTACAGGCCAGCTCAAGACACTAGTCCTCCTTAGTCCTCTGTCACTACAGCAGCAGTTGAAATGGCTCTCATATTGCCATGGCAACAGTCATGTCCAGGGCTTGTGGGAACAACAGAGAAACCAGGGCTCGGGGCAGGAGGAGATGAGACCAAAACACAAGGCTCCAGAGGCCCCGAGGGGCGAAGAGAAAACCAGGACATGGCCCAGGGAGACAGACTTCTGAGCCCTGCTTTATGTGGGCATATGAAGGGCAGGGGCTGGCGGGGAGACAGGGAAGGGGAGGCCCCAGGGGTCTTCTCTCAACATATAGGTTGGAAGAGAAGCCTGAGCAAGACCCCCCTCTCCCTTTATTCCTGGTTCTTGCCACACCCCAACCCCATGGTCACAGCTCTGCCTGGTACCCAGCAGGTTGCACTTAATGCCTGTTGGTGGCAGTAGTGCACCCAGAAGTGCTGCAGTCACATCCTGTGCAGGGGCACATCCTGGTTGTCTCCCTGGTTTTCAAAATCAGATGCAAATCTTAACTGTCATTAGTTTTTACTCAGTAACATGATGTATCTGTTCACCTGGGTCTTGCCAGAAAGTATAAACTTGAACTTGCTGCTGTTTGAGTTTCATAAAAACTCTGGCAGTAAGAAATACAATTCCATGGAACATTGCCCAAAAGATACACAGACTGTTTATTTCTTAAAAAGTCTGAATCAAATCAGACTCTCAGAAGATTGCATACTTAGACTGACATGTGTTGGTCTCTGGTAGACTTTTGTTAAATTGCAATTAGGTATTTTGCCTTTGGCTTCTTTTGAAGCTGTGGCTAGAAAGAGTTGTGAGTTTTGAAGCTCGTGCTATATCTGCTGTAGAGCTGTTGTTGAGGATGTTACCCACTAGATCTTATAGCCTCTCTTTAGGAGAACCCACAGAAGGATTTTACCCTGGTCTTAGTACTGGGAGATGCCATGCTTAGGATAAACTAGTTTGTTTCAGACACAATTGTGGATTGTGTTTTTGTTGTGTTTTCCTCTTTGCTTAGACTGTTTGCAAACTCGGAGCCATATATGTAAGGATTTTTGTGTATTGATCTCCCATGCCCCTGGTTTTATTTTGTTTTCTTTTTCCCTCCTCTTCTTCCCCCTATCTTTTTTCCCCTCCAGATGCATAGGATGCATGATCTGTTTACTGTTGGCAGCGGTGAGGCCATGTTGCAGCTCATCCCTCCCTTCCAGTGCCGAAGCCACTGCCAGTCAGTGGCAATGCCACTAGAGCCCGGAGATGTTGGTAGGTGGGGCCTCTGGAGGGCAGGGTCAGCTGAAGGATCTTTTTAGTGTTTTTATTTATTTATTTTTTTTTTTTATTTTTGAGAGGGCATCTCTCATATTTATTGATCAAATGGTTGTTAACAACAATAAAATTCTGTATAGGGGGGTCAGTGCTCAATGCACAATCATTAATCCATCTCAAGCCTAGTTCTCATCAGTCTCCAATCTTCTGAAGCATAACGAACAAGTTCTTACATGGTGAACGAATTCTTACATAGTGAATAAATTCTTACATGGTGAACAGTACAAGGGCATTCATCACAGAAACTTTCGGTTTTGATCACGCATTATGAACTATAAACAATCAGGTCAAATATGAATATTCGTTTGATTTTTATACTTGATTTATATGTGGATCCCACATTTCTCCCTTTATTATTATTATTATTTTTATTTTTAATAAAATGCTGAAGTGGTAGGTAGATGCAAGATAAAGGTAGAAAACATAGTTTAGTGCTGTAAGAAGGCAAATGTAGATGATCAGATGATCAGGTGTGTGCCTATGGACTAAGTATTAATCCAGGCTAGACAAGGGCAGCAAGACATCCACGGATGCAGAAGATTTCTCTCAAAGCAGGGGGGGTGAGGTTCTGAGCCTCACCTCTGTTGATCCCCAAATTCTCACCTGATGGCCCCCCTGCGACTGTGCCTGTCTTAGGTTGTTCCTCCCTTGAGGAATCTTACCCGTCTCTGGCTAACCAGTCATCTTCCGGGGCCATACAGGGAAATGTAAAGTTGGTAAGTGAGAGAGAAGCCATATTGTTTGCAAAGGTTAGCTTTTTACTTCTTTGCAGATTTATGCCCTGTGGCTTCTATGCCCAGCACTTGTCTCGAGGTATCTTTACCACCTGGAGGAATTATGATACTCGGTAAATTCGATATGAGGCACGAATTCTATTTAAGGGTTGTAATTAGGAAGGAAGAAGAAAAGCTATAGATGTAGCATATGAAGGAAACTTGGGAGGATTGATTATTTCTTTGACATATCTTCTTGTATAGTACCTTAAGTATGTATAGGTTTTAAACTACTAACTAATTTGCACACACATATTAACATAATAGGAATACGGTGACATAAACAAAGCAAATCTATAATTACCAGCCATCTCCAGTGAAGCCAAGAAAACCATTTAGGCACCCTAGGCATTTGTGAAAATTTATCTATGATATGATGGATATTGTCCAACTGTACTTGAACCATCAGACAAATTAAAGCAGCCCATTTCTGGGATCTGTTCACATCCCATATGTTCTTTTAACCATAGATAGTCTATAGTCATGAGATTTTGGGGTGCTACAACTTGCACCCCTCCCAACTCCTGGTTGAGTTCCAACAGTACAGATCCAGTCAAATTCGTTGTCTCACTGTATGCACATGCCAGCCTAGACATCTCCCTCCTCCTTCTTATGGCAAGTCCAGGAGACGGTGGGCTGGATGCAGCCACAACCGCAGCATCGTCCGGATCCCTGTGGAGGCTTTTTGATGATCATCCCCCGGCACGAGTCCTCCAGAGAGTGCTGATGCCGGAAGCTCCTCCTCATATCGTATCTTAGTTCATTTTCTGGGTATCCAAGCTAGGCCTTGATCTTCTGCGTAGAAACAAACAGACCCTTTGCCCACACTTTGACATGCCCTCTATACCACTGTGCAGAACTCATTGGAGGTCAGCACACAGTAACTGCTTTTTTTTTTTTTTTTTAATTAAGAGAAAGGAATATTATCAGAAAAGAGTACCTCCATAGCTGATCATCTGACACCCTTTAAGTGATCAACATTAAGGATATTTAAAGCATGCGTTGATCTTTGATTTACCAATAGTTTTATCCTGTTAAGGAGTAATCCCCCTTTTCTTTCTTTCTTTCTTTTTTTTTTTTAAATTTTTAATCTACACTTACCTGAAGAATACTATGTTTACTATGCTCTCCCCTATATCAGGTCCCCCCTAACAACCACATTACGGTTACTGTCCATCAGCTTAGCAAAATGTGGTAGAGTCACTACTTGTCCTCTCTGTGTTGTGCAGCCCACCCTCCCCTTTCTCCCTCCCCCCCATGCATGCTAATCTTAATACCCCCCTTCTTCTTCCCCCCCCTTATCCCTCCCTGCCCACCCATCCTCCCCAGTTCCTTTCCCTTTGGTACCTGTTAGTCCATTTTTGGGTTCTGTAATTCTGCTGCTGTTTTGTTCCTTCAGTTTTTCCTTTGTTCCTATACTCCTCAGATGAGTGAAATCATTTGGTATTTCTCTTTCTCCGCTTGGCTTATTTCACTGAGCATAATACTCTCCAGCTCCATCCATGTTGCTGCAAATGGTTGGATTTTTCCACTTCTTATGGCTGAGTAGTATTCCATTGTGTATATGTACCACATCTTCTTTATCCATTCATCTACCGATGGACATTTAGGTTGCTTCCAATTCTTGGCTATTGTAAATAGTGCTGCGATAAACATAGGAGTGCATCTGTCTTTCTCAAACTTGATTGCTGCGTTCTTAGGGTAAATTCCTAGGAGTGGAATTCCTGGGTCAAATGGTAGGTCTGTTTTGAGCATTTTGATGCACCTCCATACTGCTTTCCACAATGGTTGAACTAATTTACATTCCCACCAGCAGTGTAGGAGGGTTCCCCTTTCTCCACAGCCTCGCCAACATTTGTTGTTGTTTGTCTTTTGGATGGCAGCTATCCTTACTGGTGTGAGGTGATACCTCATTGTAGTTTTAATTTGCATTTCTCTGATAATTAGCGATGTGGAGCATCTTTTCATGTGTCTGTTGGCCATCTGTATTTCTTTTTTAGAGAACTGTCTGTTCAGTTCCTCTGCCCATTTTTTAATTGGGTTATTTGTTTTTTGTTTGTTGAGGCGTGTGAGCTCTTTATATATTCTGGACGTCAAGCCTTTATTGGATCTGTCATTTTCAAATATATTCTCCCATACTGTAGGGTTCCTTTTTGTTCTATTGATGGTATCTTTTTCTGTACAGAAGGTTTTCAGCTTAATGTAGTCCCACTTGCTCATTTTTGCTGTTGTTTTCCTTGCCCGGGGAGATATGTTCAAGAAGAGGTCACTCATGTTTATCTTTTTAGTTTTTATCTCAAAAAATATTCTAAGAATTAAATATTGCCTTCACAAAAATTCAATTAAGTAGAGTCAAAAATAGTGTTCTTTTATTAAACAGGGCTGATACTTATGCTTAGATGGAACAACTAATGAGAAAATGGAGTAAAGAGAAATGTGCTGTAGGTACATTTAGCATGTATATGTCCATTCAAGTTAGTAGAGTTTATGGAAAATATTTGGAGCAATCTTTTATTGTACATATGAGGAAATTGAGATCCAGAGAGGAGAGGTGAATTTCCCAAGGTTCCACCATCAGTTAGGCAAAGCATCAAACCTTAAGTCTCTCCTTTAACCGAGTCAAGCCAGGGAAGTACAATTCCAGATTCAAGAAACTCTTTCTGTGCCCATTTTGCTGATAAAACAATGCAAGCAGTATGTAAGGGCAGCAGCCACACAAAGACCATGGGTCCCACAGCCAAGTCACAGCCTCCCAGTCATGACTCACCCTTGGCTATGTGATTTCTCAACTGTGACTTGTTCTGGGCATTGTATTCTAAAAGTCCATTCCAAAGAAACAGGTTTGAATCAACTGCTCTAAATCTGACTGTAGAGTTTTCTTGGCAGAAGCAATTCAGCAAGTGTCACCACTGCCCTACTTTTTATTGGCTCACAAAACCTAGGGGAGGTCTGGGGTCCCTGACAGAGCCCAGACTGGTTTTCCAATTGATTTTTTTTTTTAATTTTACCTGTTCAGAAGACCCTAATCCCTGGAAACCTCTCACTTCATTTAGAGGTAGGGGTGCAAACTACAAACTATTCCAAGCTTTAATCCAAGTTACATAACTCTTCAGTTTAGAAGTGAAAAGATAAAAATAATGCACAAACTAAGTATTAAATGATAATGCAGCACAGTTGGCCTGGTCCTCGGGAATTACCGCAAAGGGGATTCTTCTGTAGAAAATGTTGTGAACCTATTTTCCTGTAGTGGAGTGACCTGCCATGAGGCCTGACTGTTGCACAAGTTACGTGTGGCATTTTGAGCTGGGAGTGTGCAGCTGTACTTGAAGAAGTTGCTGTCTTAATACATTCTACAAACAGCCGAGAAAGTTGAGACAACTACAGAAACACCTTTGTTATGTAAATTTCCAGGTTTCCGCTCCCACAGGGGTCTGGAATGCCAACTATAGAATTAGGGGGAAAATTTTAAATGAGTGACTGGCAGGATCAAAGAAGCCTTGAGCCTCAAAGGCTGGAGGGAATAGTCCAGAATAGCCTAAAACCCAGATCATACTGTGCTGTGACTGGCCAGTTGGCCAGCCAGAAGGAAAGGAGCCCTGTTCTAAAACCCAGATCATACTGTGCTGTGACTGGCCAGTTGGCCAGCCAGAAGGAAAGGAGCCCTGTGGTTGGTGGTGTCCATGAACAGCAGCCACAGGATGGCATTGTGGAGAAGGAATGGGAGACTGAATAGGACAGAAGGAACAGGGCAAGTCTGGAAGAAGAACATGAGTGGGGGGTTGGGGAAAACAGTGGGAACCTGAAACGATGGCAAAAGTAGAAGCAATGGCTGCTGCTGCCTCAGTTAAAATGAGGATGGAAAAGCAGACCTTGATGATGAAGAATGACTTAGTGGTTGTAGGACAGATGGCAACTCTGGTACCTCGGGACCCTTAAGGATGGCATGTGACAAACAAGTTATGTTTTTTTTTACAAAGTAAGCATTGTCCTGTGAAGGCTGAAGGGAAGGGGACCAGGTTACAGATCACTGGGAAACCTGTGTGATGGGAGGCCTTTTCAAGAATGGTGTAGGGGTCAGGCAGCAGAGGCTGCTGTGATTGTACAGTGACTGGTCATAATGACATTTCTTGAGTCACCACGTAGAGGTTAAATTCTATTCAGTTTAAAGATGGCTGGGTTACATCATACTCGAAAAAATTTCCCCATCAGGAGATTATTGAATGTTAAGGTTTTAAAGTTTACCTTGCTAGCCCACTCAAATGGTGTATAGGACAGTGATTCCTAAACAGTCCTTCAGATGATGCTTGATCCCAAGGGTAGGAACTGGGAGCCCCTTGGAAAGGCCCTTGGTAAACAGGACTCTTGACTTTGGAAGTGCCTGTCTTGATATGTAGTGCACGTTGGTGTATAAACAGCTCCAAATAACCTTGGAGGAACCTAGTGTTTTTGAAACTTTTCTTGACCATGGAACCTATTTTCCTTGGACTATTTTATGGTATGCTACCGTTTGCAGAACACAATTTAGGAAGGCTAGTCTGAGCTAATCTGGATGTTCTGTAATAAGACCATACCATAGATAACTTAAGGACAGTTGGATAGGGGGTCCTGCTCCCCCTCAGAACTCATCCTGTGTTCTGGCTGATAAAGATGAGATCGATCTGAAAATTGATGCCCAACATCAGCCTCACCTAAAGCATCCTACCTTTGTAAACCTGCTCAATAGTGATTCACAGTTACTCAGGTGAGGATGGTGATAAAGTGCTTTGGTTCAGGGTGGCTCCTGTTGGAGGTCAGGTTACAGAGAGAACTGATAATGGGAATATTTACATCAGAAAAGCCCAAAGAATACAGACTTTCAAAGCAAGACTCACCTCTGACTCTGTGGTTGCAAACTGAGGGCAGCTCTGGCAGACCTGCCTTGTTTGTGCCCACAAGTGTGCCCAGGCCCTGACACTCATGTGCTTTCCTGTTGCTGTTTTCCTTCAAGGCTATGCTGGTGCCACTCACTGGAAGGTCTACGTTATAGCCAGAGAGGTCCAGCCTTTGGTCGTTTGTGATGGAACCACCCTCTCGGAACTATAGGAAACAACTATGTAGAGGAACAGCTTTGAGAGCTGAAGATCAGAATGAAAGGAGGGAAATAAAAACAAAAACTATGACACCATTTTCCAGGGGGTTGATTACTTAGTTACCTGCCCTGTGCATGCATGTATGAGCCAGCTGTGTGCTGGAGGCAATGGCCAGAGCCTGGCCCTTCCAACCCTTCCAGCCCAGCGGCTTGGCCAGGACTTTGCTATTACCCATCTGTGAGAGACTGGGTTCTTCCAGGCCTTTCAGCACTGTCGCCTTGAGGCTGCTCCTCAGACAGGAAACAGGGTTGGTGCCTTCCCTCACTTGCATGGCACAATCCCCTCTGCTGCCTCCCTGGCCATGGAGAGGACAGCCAGCAGGCCTTAACTTCAGAGCCATCCTTTACTACGTGGGCCTGCTTGTCGTTTCTTCCTGGCCACACCACCCTGTTTTTTGGAAAGCCATGGCTCATTAAAGAAGTCATTGCAGTTTCCCAAGCAGAATGGATTCTAAAACCAGTGAAAAAAGATCAGGCAACCTCAAATTGCACTCAAGAAATTCAGTTATTTCCCAGAGTTGAGGGCTCCAGAAGTGTCAGTGGTGCCAAGCTGGAGTCTGACTGTAATTGAAATGGTAATTCCTAAGGTGATACTTTCCTCCACTTCATCAGGTTCCTGTGCCCTCTCCCCCAGCTCCCTTGCCTGTCTGGATGGGTTTCTCCCAAGTTGGGCTCCGGGTCCTGCCTCCCTGGGCCAGGCCAGAGCCCTTAATGCTGAGGCAGCACTGCTCCTGTCAAGCTGTTTGTCGACACATTGGCTTTTACCACATGTCTTCAGCGGGGGATGAGTTAGTGCTGGCCGGGGAAAGGGTGCCTCCCCAGGTTTGATCTTTAGGGTCCAACTTTCTGGAGGAAAGATGTTTAACAGATGTGTCAAGCTGATGTTGTAATGTGGCTGGGGAAGGAACTCCAGACCCAAAGTGCTTGCCAGCTGGGTATGTGACTGCGATGCTCTGTCTTAAAGTGATTCCTCTCTTTGTCCTGGAAAACAAGGTGAGGCATTTTTATTTTTTGTAATAATACAAAGCTGTGTTCTTCAGACGGGTTGATTCACTGTACTCACTGCTTTCCCCGAGTGCTTTTAGTGTGTACAATCAAATGGTATAAATTAGGACACACTTTTCTTGCTTCCTTTTTCCCTGTATTATTCCTTTATTGACAGTTCAGGGTATTTGGCCTTTGGTCAGGCTGTGGCCAAGATGAAGAAGAAACCACAGTGTGGCCCCTGGTTCTGAATCACAAATGAAGTGGGCCCAGGGTGGGTGTCTGTCAGTTCCAGAGCGGTAATAGACAGTGGTGAGGGAAGGAAGTGTATCTCCTTGCGGGGACTCTTCACCCCTTGAGGCGCCTCTGTGCCATGTCTCTGGGCCCTCTTTCTCTGCACATGTTGTGAGCGGCCATGGGGATCATTGGGTACTTGAAGGGCCTGTTGGTGGGCTTACAGAGAACAAGTGGTTCACAGAGCTCAGGTGGAAACACAGCCTCCTCCGCACGCTAGGATGGAACTAGGGTGAACTGTACCGGAGGGAATTATTCCTTAAAAGAATCAGCGCCTTGTGTGGACTAATACAGGAAAAACAAAACTTTTTGTACATATGAAAGTCATGCTGCTGAGCAGTTATGATTTAAGAGGTTTTAAGTCAGAGGGATCATTTGAGGCCAGCTTTGTACAAGCTTTTAGAGCCTTTGCAATGTCCTTCCCCTGCTGCTCTAGGGGAAGGAGTACATGTAAACAGGTTCTTCAGAGACCTCTCAAGAGTTTTCATAAGTTAGGCCCTTTGGGTTAACAAAAGTTAGAGTTCCGCAGAAGCACAGCCGCGGTTTTGACCATTGCAATGTCTGACGCGTTTTTATAAATCACGCTGTGTTCCTTCCCCTTTTCTGTCCTGCCCTTCACACTTCAAATTTTCATAAAATATTCACTTCACCTTCAACTTTGAGAACTAAGAAACCTTTGCATGTGTTAGTATTCTGAGGCATCACCTGGGAAACCCCTTAAGCTGCTGTGCTGTCTGGGGGTCTACAGAGAGCAGTGCGGTGGCAGATAGAGGCTGGTGCATATGCCACTCATTTCACTTACAATCTACCCGGTTCAGAATCGAATGCAGATTTATGATAAGGGAGAAATTTTCCAAACGGCATTTTCTACACTTAATTACTGGATATGTAGAAGTAATTTGCTTTCTTAAGGTAATTTGAAAAGCAGGATCTACCACTGAGCAGTCCTACAGGAATAGCTTGGGATTGCCAGCCAGTCCCTTTCTGGGTACGCAAGGCTTTGTGTGAGGGTGCTGCGGGATGTCCCCTGCTCGCTTAGCTCTCAGTTCCCCTGTGGAAGCAGCAGAAATCCCTCTGCACCACCCAGTGTGGGAAGGAGGGTCGTCAGGATGAGGAAGCAGAGTTGGGCAGCACAGAGGGGACCACTCAGTCAACTCGCCACCTGCACTGCCGTGATGAGAACAACCAGTGGGGCTGTGAAAAGATGGATGTGCTCACAAATCTGAGTGTTTAATAGAGGTGACAAGGTGGTGACCTCTGCACATGGGTTGGGTTCACTTTCTTACAGTTTCCTGGAGCAAGACCTATATCCCCAGAAAACAGCACTCTGGGGAGAAAGTCTGCTTTGGCACCAGTCTGAAGCATTTATGTCCAGATATCCTGAGGTCTCCAGCAATCAGTACTGGACAGATGCTATACCTCTTCTGGCTTATTAAAAAAGGCAGACCACATCCTCCCCTTATTGTCAAATTTTTAAGGAAGGGAGGGAGTAAAATAATAGTGGTTTGTGAAAACAAAATCCTCCTATTCTGTGAAATTAGTCTACAAAATGGGCAGATTTGGGCTCATTTTTTGAAAGAGGGATAATAACATTTGTCCAGCCCACTCCAGCTCAGAGCACCTCAATGTATGTGATCTCCTTTCAACCTTACTCATTCAGCCTTGTAAAGTACTGTGAGATCCTCACTTTACAAGTAAAGAGACTAGGGCTTAGAACAGTTAACTGGAAGAAACAAGGGCTTATAGCTGGTTCTGGGGCATATTGTTTTCCTGCTGCAGTATACGGTGGTGCCCAGGAACAAAGATGTGGCTTTAATTGACTTGGGTGTGCCCCTCTGGGGTTGAAATACCTAGGGACAGGATCAGCAAGCTAGACACTCTTAAGGGTTTGTTTTTTAAGCTTCTGGACAGAAATGGAGGAGAGAATCTAACCAGATGACTTTTATAACAATTCTTTCACTTTCTCCCTCCCCATTTGAAAGCTCTTCTTAAGAGTGAGTGTGGCTGGAACACAATCGCGTCCAGCTATTTTCCTGTCACCACATGTTTCCAGATGTGGGACCAGAAAAAGGACTCTGCCTAATTCCAGTTGTGGGTCCCCTTGGAGTTTACATCACTTGTTTTTCAGTTCTGTTTTCTATTCCCTTCATCCAAAATCCAGCATAGGCTTCTATGTAGGAACGTTTACTTAAAAACAAAATTTCAAGTTCCTTAGCTGCAGGTGATGGCCTCCATCATTTTAATATAGTCTGGAATAAGAGTTTGCTCATTAACCAATAGCTTCCATAGTAAACATTCAAAACCCCAAAGCAAAGTTCACTTCTCATCTAATCCTTGCCCAGCAAGAGAAGGCCAGGTTGTAGGGAGACGAGAGGGAAAGCTGCGTGGAGAGAGGTGATCCTGGCTTCTGTTCAAGCTTCAGTTGTTAGAGGGTCTTTCAGGTTCTTGAGCTCTTCTAGCAATAAAGGAGAAACTGCTGAGTTCACAGCTTCCACACTCGTTAACATTTAGTGGTGGCCCAGCACACACTAAAATTGATTGAAGAAAGGGTGTGCCAGAGAAGTGTTTAAAATAGTATTTTACATTAAGATTCCATTTGGACCTAAACTTACTGTGTCAGGGTCAGGAGGCTAGGAGGTGCAGGTGATTACAGAGATACCCCTGCAGCAAATTAAAAATGGGAGGCTCTGGGAATGTGCTGTGTCACATCTGTGTGCATATCCCTGGCCTCCTCACCCCCAGCCTCCCAGTATCCAGCAGCTTCTTTGACAAAAGCATCTCCAAGGAGATGGACAGGTGCTCTGTCTCCTGCGCACCACATCCAGATCTGCCCCACCAGACCCTGTGTGGCTCTAAGTGCTGGCCTCGGTGAGAAGCCCTCCAGCCAGCTGGTCTGTTGTCCAGGTCCGTCAGTGTCTGGTTTCCCTGCCCTGTGTAATTTAAACATTAGAGCTGAATACATCTGTCATTCTCCCTTCTCTGGAGACTGTGAAATGTCCAGAGCTTTTCAGACTAGTGCAGAGAAGAAATGTTGTGTAACTCCAAGCAGAGGCCTGGGACTGTCCAGATGTGGCGGAGCTGGCCCAGAGACTTCCTCCAGTGTGTAGCACATCTGTCAGTCAGTCAGCCGGCAGCGATCTAGGAGTGAGCCACAGCTGCACGCACCCATGCAGAGAGGGAAACCTGGTTCTGAGTTTCAAACAGAAATTGGGAGTCAGGACATCTACTTTGTGCCAGCCTTAATTTACCTCATTACTCCTCACAACAGCTCTGTGGGGCAGGAAAGGTCATCGTGTGAAGCCACTTTTACTCAGATGAGCAGTGTCCCAGCCTTCAAACATCAGCCCCTCAGACCATTTGAAACCCTTTCAGGAACAAACTCTCATGAGAATTGGTGACAGGATCAGACAGGCACATGGCATTCCCAGAGAACCCTTTCTTTCCAGACTTCTTCCCATAGTTTCACCCTCAGAGAAATGTTGGCTGTGGTCTCCTCCCCTGCCCCCTGCCCTCCTGTGGAAAGAAAGGTCAGTTACAGATGCCCAGGCCCTGGGGAGACTGGAGAGGCAGCGGTAAGCCAGGAGCTCAGTGCTCAGCCTCTTCCCAGCTATCACCAGTGCAGGAATGGGACAGCAGCAGCTCATTCTGGCGTAGCCAGGGCGACGGGGGCTGGGAGTATGGACATCTGCACCAACCACACTCTCCGAACTGTCTAAGCTGTTGGCATGTGCTCAGTGCAGAGTGTTGGCAGTAACTGATGTACTGCAGACTTGCAAAGACTGCTACCATGTAAGTAATGTATGTAAATTAACGTTTTGTGTAATGAAAGTTTTTACTTTTTGCAATTAAAAGTGTGTATGTTGATTGATAAGAACTTGCCTGAACTTGGTGTCATTCTTCAATTTCCAGTTTCGTCTTCTTCTATAACTCGGGAGACTGGTAGCCTCATCCTCCTCATGTGCAGGCTCTGCTGCAGGCCTCCCAGTCCCACCCAGCCTTGGTCCTCTCTAACGTTCTCGCTCGGCTTTGTCCTCACTTGCTTTCACAGACTCTTCTCGTATCTCCATTCCAGCCCTTTGCCCCCATGGCTTTCAATATGCTGTTCCCCTGGACTGTCAGCTCTCAGTCCTCCTATTAATACCCTCCTTTGTCCCTGCACTTTACCCAGAATTCAGATGAGAACCTGGACACCTTTACCTTCTCACCAGCCAGCTGCACACAGCCCAGGTACCCTCACAGTGTCACCTCACCTGTGGATATCCTAGGTTCTTGGAGGAGGACAGCCAGTCCCCCTTGCTGGCTCACACCAGCTGCCACCAGATCAGGGCCACTCTCAGCACTCAGTTAACTCAGTGCAGATTTGAGTCAACTCATTTCTGTGTGTTCATATTTTGGGGGTAACTTGTCTTTTATATACAGAGTTTTATATAAATGCATGATATAACCATTTATACTGCTTAGTGCCCTGTTTTATGTTCCCTTTGTTATTTGCTGCACCCTTCTCCCTGTCCTGCATTATCTCCCCCACCCCCGTTCAGGTAAATGTAATATATACACAGCCACACCCTGCCACGTATCTTCCTGTAGTTTCCTCTGTGCTCTCTAGTCATAAATCAACGTTTTTGTCACTGCGTTACCAAAAATGGGGTCATATTCTGGCACTTGATGTTTCTTGCTTTTCTTAATACCTTGAAGGGCTTTCTTCAAGTCAGCTGGCATAGCTCTGAACTGTTCTTTCTAATGGCTAGGGTTTCGTGATGTGGACGTGCCATCATTTATTCAACTATTCTCTTGACAGTAAATCACATCCTGTTAAATGAGTATTTGGATTATAAGTCAAGAGGCCTGGAGCTAATTTTTAAAATGCATGGTTTTACAAAATGTGTATCCATGCTTGTTTTTTCCAACTCTAATACATGGTCTTCAAAAATGATCCCATTTCACAGTGCTATTCGTTTACCTGCTTGAAAACTGGACTTCCACCCAAGTAAAAGAGGGAGGGAGGGCTTGATTCTCTGTAAAAAGGTGGCAGAGCCACTTGTTTACAGTGTCTTTCTTTCTCAGCCCCTCTAGCACTGCGCACTGGCTTGTGGAAAACATCTCCCTCCCTTGGCTTCTGTGAAGCTCACTACTCCCTTGATGAACCCCCTTTCCATGTTTTTCTCCCCGGGAAATGCCAACTCCATGCTTTACCTTCCCCACCATGGGCAAGTTACCTCCAGCCCACATGCCCAATGTACACTTCTCACCGGAACACTAGTTCTGTAGATCAAAGTGTGCAGACTTCATCCCCATTGTTTCTCTCCTGAAGCACCTGTGATCCGCCATGTCCAAAATGACTGCGGCAGCCTTGGAGGGCTCCCTGTCACATATCAAGCCCACGGCTGCTTGGGTTGGAACCTTGCGGTTTCACTCCTAGACTCTGCCAGTAGCTGGCAAATACATTCCTTGTGCATGTCATCCCAAGTTACTGTCCCTGCACCTGCCACAGTGATCCTTCTAAAGCCCATGTCGCCTCACTTCCTTGCTCAGGGCTATGTAGTGACTGTTGCCGGCAGGATGAGAAGTCCTTCCACTCCTTAATTGTGCTTCCCCTCCTCATCCTCTGTGCTCCATTCTACTGGACCATCATGATGCCTGGACACATCCAGGCTCACTTTTCTTTTTAATTAAAAAAACTTTATTTTTCAGAGCAGTTTTAGATCCACAGCAAAACTGAGCAGAAGGTGAAAGAGTTCCAGTATATCCTCTGTCCCTACACATGCCGAGCCTCCCCTACTACTGAATTCCTGCCCCAGAGCAGTACAATTGTTAGACTCAATGAACTCACGCCGACACATCATTACCACCTGAAGTCACTTGGTGGTGTACATTTATGGGTTTGGACAAGTGTATAAAGATGTGTATCAAACCTATACTATCACACATGCTTGTTTTTCCATACGAATTCTTACATAGTTTCACTGCCCCAAAAACCCTCTGTGCTCTCCCTGCTCATCCCTGGCAACCTCTGATCTCTGCTATCTCCATAGTTTTGCCTTTTCCGGAATGTCATATAGTTGGAATCCACAGGATGTGGCCTTTTCAGATCGGCTTTCTTTGCTTAGCAATATGCACTTAAGGTCCCTCTATGTCTTTTCATGGCTTGATGGCTCATTCTTTTTAGTGCTGGATGATATCCCATTGGATGTACCATGTTCGCCTACTGAAGGACATCTTTGTTGCTTCTGAGTTACGGCAATTATGAAAAAATTGCTGTAAATATCTGTGCAGTTTTTTGTGTGGACATAGTTTTCAGCTTCTCTGGGTAAATACCAATGAGCACAGCTGCTGGATTTTACAGTAAGAGTATTATTTAGTTTTGTAAGAAACCACCAAACTTCTCCAAAGTGCCCATACCATTTTACATTCCGACCAGCAAAGAATGAGAGTTCCTGTTATTCTACATCCTCCTCAACTTTTGGTGGTGTCAGTGTTCTGGATTTTGGCTGTTCTGACAGTTGTGTAGTGCAATCTCATTTAATTTGCTGTTCCCTATGACATATGTTGAGTCTTTTCATATGTTTACTTGTCATCTGTGTATCTCCAGTGTGGTGTCTCTTTGGGTGTTTGACCCATTTTATAATCAGGTAGTTCATTTCCTGCTGTGGAGTTTAAAGAGTTCTTTGTATATTTGGAAGAACACTCCTTTATCTGATGTTTTTTTTTTTAATTTTGGTATCATTAATCTACAATTACATGAGGAACATTATGTTTACTAGACTCCGCCCATCACCAAGTCCCCCCTACATACCCCATTACAGTCACTGTCCATCAGCGTAGTAAGATGCTATAGAGTCACTACGTGTCTTTTCTGTGTTGTACAGCCCTCCCTGTGCCCCCACCTACATTATGTCTGCTAAAAGCAATGCCCCTTTTTTCCCCCTAATCCCTCCCTTCCCACCCATCCTCCCCAGTCCCTTTCCCTTTGGTAACTGTTAGTCCATTCTTGGGTTCTGTGAGTCTGCTGCCATTTTGTTCCTTCAGTTTTTTTCTTTGTTCTTTTTTTTTTTTATTACGAATTCTTACATAGTGAATAACTTCTTACATGGTGAACAGTACAAGGGCAGTCATCACAGAAACTTTCGGTTTTGATCACGCATCATGAACTATAAACAATCAGGTCAAATATGAATATT